AGCATATCTCCAACACTTTTATGTTTGCTATACACAACTATTGGTGCAGCATTGAATATTTATACACAATCTTCGTCAAACTGTAATAAATGCCCGTTTCTTTATTTTACGTATATATATATATATGGGTTATATTTTTTTTTTTTTTTTTTTTTTTTTAAATAGATACTTGTTTATTCCAAAAAATTTCCTGTTTACATTTTCCTCAGTTGCCCAGGATGCAAACTGGGGATTCCCGTTTACATTTAAAACCAACTGTCCGGGAAGCAGGAGGCTGAAAAAAGTGCACTGTATTACCAGAAAAAGTAGTACATGCATAATAATACTTATTATTCTATTATATGACAATGAATGAAAAAGAACATCTTTCTAGAATGTAATACTAGTAATAAATAATATAACATTATAACATAATCGAGTGCACCTCTAAACCATGGATTACCTAATACAAATTAAAGAGACATAAAAGGCAGACCACATAACATCGTGACTGTTATCTCCTACAAGGTTTGTAACATCATATAAAATTAATCAATGTGTTTATTTTTTCTTTGTCTATTGTATTATTAGATAAATAACAGGGTACAGATTTCAGATGGGTTATCATGTATGATTTCCAAAGATTCAAAATATCTGTAGATGACATTTTTATCCCATCATATTTGATTTTGTTTCTTATTTTCCACAAGGACCATTTTGTCAAAATAAAAAAGAGATTTACAAGTAAAGTGTGGTTCGATTGACCACTGCTATCTCCCAAAAGCATAAAATGTTTTAAATTTTCATCATCTAATTGAACATTCCAAAATGTGAAAATATCTTTGATTTTACTAATGATTATTTTGGTTGTATTCCAATCGAAAAATAAATGTTGCAAATTTTCAGTATTATTGACCGTTTGGTAAATATGACATTTTCCGTTTGACAATTGCATTTTTTTAAGTCTACTTTCCGTTTATATGATATTGTGAATGCATTTCCATTGAAATTCTTTTATTTTATTGGTGATATTAACTTTTTTCAGATTGTCCCATACTATTTTCCAATTAATTTCGTGCCCAAAAATTTCTTGCCATTTGTTTTGACATTTTGGATATATTTTCTGATTAATCGTGTCTAGAATATATTTGAGTTTCAATTCTTTAGGTTTGATTTTTTTGTCATTTCCATCTAATATGAACATTTCATCAGAAAGTTTCAATTCTATGTTTGTTTTTACATTAATTTCATTATCAATTTCTAAAATTTGTAAGAAGTCGATTGGTATTGAACTTTTAACTCTTGAAAATTCCGATATACAGTTTCTTTTATCCACAAGTTTTTCAAATATAGAACAACAACTGTAAAATTCGTTGGTTTCTTCATTCCATATGTCTTTGATATATTTCATGTTACTTTTTAGAAAGGAAGAAAAAAACAATGGCTTATTTTGGAATAAAATTTTTGAATTACCAAATAGTCTCATATTAAGTACCTCGTGCTTTGTTTTGGGATTATCTCCAATTTTTAGAAAATTAGACCATGTATAGACCATTTTCTGATAAAATAAAGGAATATTTTTAAGATTTAGTCCATTAATATTTGAACATTTACATAACAAATATTGATCATTATACTTATTGTCAAATTGTCGAAGCCAATACTTGCCAATCGCATTCCAGCTTTCTAATGGTTCATGAAGAATGCGATAAAGAGACTTTATTTGCTTACTTCTAATGAATAATTCTATACTAATCATGCCCATTCCACCCTTTGTTATATCAAGACAACAAACCTGTCTTTCTATTTGGTTAACTTTCCCATCCCATATAAAATTCCAAATGATATTGCTTATTTCTTTTGAATATTTTTCAAGAATTCCCCGCATTTCAATTTCATAACTGCACATGGACAATATGAAATTTTTTACTATTAAGGTTTTACCACTAAATGAAAGTTTCCTGCTTTTCCACACGTGGACACAGTTTTTAATCTTTTCTATAATGCTTTGCCATATAGCATCATTATCAATTTCATATATGGGTTATATTTAGTTATCAAAACTAACGGAATATTTTCTTTTTCCTTCGATTTATTTTGCTGTAATAATTCAGTACGGTCAATTGATAAAGCATCAGTAATACTATCGATCTATTTCGACGTTATCATAACCCCTATCTAATAATTTCCCTTTGAAATTAGTTAGATTGTTTATTTAATTGTTATGGTCATTTGTGTTTCTAATTTGCCGTATTGCTTCACCTTTCATAAATCCTCGGAATACATGCTGTGAGTGAGAGCTATTTCTATGCAGATAGAGATAAGAATTTGTTTCTTTAAAATGTATTTCAAGGTCAAGAATGCCATGTGTTGTAAATTTTTGACCTTTAATTACATGAACATCTAAGAACGACATTTTGTCGTTTGAGATTTCATAGGTGGACTTCAATAAGGGGTTATAATTATTTGCTAGACGAAAAGAATCTGCAATTTCATTTGATGTTCCATCATATATTATGAATCCATCGTCCCTATATTTTTAACCTATAATATAAAATTAAACAGACCTAGAAAAATCCTATTGCACAAGTTTGCTATCTATTTATATCTATATTTATGTTTATAAATCGCTTATATGACCGTTGGTAGTCTTCGGAGGTCAACTCGATAGTTAATTAGATGGCGTCTAGACTAAAATACACAAGAAACCATGAAACATATTATCGAGCCCATGCCTTGTAAATTGTTTATTTTATACTTTTTATAATTTGGATATATGTTTTAGTATGCTATACATCAAATATGAGAATTTGAGTCAAATCGATGAACATGAATTTGACAACCAATGCCCCTTTAAATGAATCTAATTGGCAGTAATGTTGAGTACTTAGTCTAGCCTGTCTGAAATAACACAATTTGAATTGTTATGTGCCTTTTTTTATTACTATTGTTTCATCATTTTTCAAATGGCGTACTTGCTATTCTTTCGCCCTTAGTAAGATTGTTTTTTTTTATTTATTAGAAAAGATAGTTCAAGCTTTGTTAAATCGATATAATTTTCCGACGTATGGCACGTAGAAGCAGTTTGATATCCTGTATTGCTATGAAATGGATGAAGGTCATTTTTGTCGAGCCTTTGACTTTTGTCGAAAAAGCGAGACATAGCGATCCTACATTCCGTCGTCGGCGTCGTCGGCGGCGGCGGCGTCCACAAATATTCACTCTGTGGTTCAAGTTTTTGAAATTTTAATAACTTTCTTAAACTATCCTAGATTTGTACCAAACTTGGACAGAAGCGTGTTTATGGTCAAAAGCTAGTGTCTAGAAGGAAATTTTGTTAAAATTTTGTGCCGGTGTTTCTGTATTTTACTTATAAATGGACTTACTTTTTCTTCCAGTTAACATTACATACAGTCTGCAGTTAAAGTTTTTAAAACATTTATTAGATTCATAAACTATCCTGGATTTTTACCAAACTTGGACAGAAGCTTCTTACAATCAAAAGATAGTATCGAGAGGAATATTTTTATTATTTGTTTTCCTCATTTTTGTTGAGCCTGCGATTAACAGCAAAAGTAGGCGAGACACTGGGTTCCGCGGAACCCTTACAAATTTTTTTCTTCATGACTGAACATATATCGACATCGCAGTTGTCTAGCAAATTCACTGTAGTCTTTTAGTATAGACATTTTTGCATTTTTGCTTGACGGCGTTGGTATAAATTTCAAGCCTTTCGCCAACAGGATATATTCCTGATTTGAAAATTTTCGTTTTAATAGATTAACTACATGCTTTTTTGCATGTCTTTGCTGCATATTATATTCATTCCGTTCTTTTTTTATTATTGTAGAATTGGATTTTTTGCTTGTCACATTTGGTGGCTCACGCTTATCTCCACAGTAACTTTTTATTTGTTACAAACGCTTAGTTATATATTGGTTATTCCAGAGACATGTAGATTAAAATTTAAAGGTCTCTGGATAATTCTGAATGATTAACTTTTCTCTGTGAAAAAGTCCACATCCTTGACATCCATACTACATCGCACAACATGTATTTACGAATGTTGTATACAAAAATGGGTTTGGGAATAAATTAATGATTTTTTGGGATATTTCAAAATAGTTTTAGGGATACGGGATATTTGTAAAAAAAATTATTGGGATATTAGGGGTAAACATTATAGGGATATGGGATATTGGGACAAAAACTTAATAGGATATGGGATATTGATACCCCCCCCCCCTAAACAAGCCTCCATTCTAAATTTAAAGCACCCACCCGTGTATCCCACGGTGCATCTTTACATTTTTATATATCTAGAATCTATCTGCAAGGTTGCCATATTATATTCAGGTAATCAACCATTCATCTATCTACATATACATCTATCTTTCTATATAGATATATATATTATATGAATCTATATTATGAATAAAAGCTGTGGCCAGATATCGCCAATCTATATATGTATTTTGTTTTAATGGCACCATCTAAAATTAAAATGATCTAAGGAAATCATTTCTGGTCCGATTAAAAAAATATCATGTAATAAATTAAGTTTTCGGTTAAATGATTATTTATGTACATGATTATGTTCACAATGCATTATGTACATAAAAAATACTAGAACTTTTGACCATTATACAAATAAATGGTATTCAAAACTTTTTGAATGTTCAGATATATTTTGAGGTTTCTGGAAAGTTTTCAACAATAACTTAAGCCTGGTAAAAAATTAGGTAAACGGACAGAAAGTCAAAAGTCACAAATTTGATGGGGAAAAAAGTCACAATACTGAAAATGGTAAATATAAGCTTGAAATGAACTTTTCCATCGAAAAAAGACGAAATGTTTGATAACTATTATTGTTCTTGAAACTGATGCTGAACTTGGTTCTTTTTTTAATCTCGAGAAGTGTGATGCATTCACAACAGTTTTAAACAGGAACTATTAATCTTAATTTTGATGTTTGGTTGCTGTCTCATTGCAAGCTGGCAAAAAGTAGAAAAAATAAAAAATATAAAATAAACTTTTATTTTCTAACTTAGACAGTTTATATCATGGTAACATTTTTTATATGAGATAGGGTACTATTCTTTATATGCTTACTTTTACAATACGTTGTTATGAATTGTAGATAAGTATTCGTTGAATTCATTTGAAGTCACTTTCCTATTCAGCTTTGCAAAATGGGATACAGCCTTGGCCTCATAGACGGACTGGTAATATAAATGTCTATATACACCTTCGAAAGGTTTCGGCTTTATTTTTGGATCAAAATTCACAGGACCAGGGCACCCGTAATGACTTTGATTTGCTCTGTAACTAAATATAGGTAGTCCTGATGCCTTTCTCCTTTTGTTTTCATGTAGAATTTTACAAATATTACACTGGAAGCGCAAATGGGGTTCCATGGAATCTCGTTTTTGAAGTACATGTTTTAAATATGTATTGGTGACTCCCGTCTTCTTCCACTTTGTATAATCATTATACATGTCATCATTCCTGTTCAAGAGCTGTATAAAATCAGCTATTTTCTTAGGTGAGCTTATATCCTTTATTATTATAGCTGAATGGTTTGACGGAAGAAAGTCCTAGAAAATAGAATTTTAACCCATTTGTAAAACATTCTAAAACTATTCTTATACTTGTAAAGCAATTACATTATAAATTTATTAATCAGATCAGAAGACTCGTTTTGTTATAATTTAGAAACAGAAGGAATCTTTATAAGTGCAAATGAACTGTTCCCGAGTTCATCATAAAAATAATACTTTTTCCGTTATTTTTAAAAAAACAATTCCTGCTACAGTTTTATTTTTATTATAAAACATAAGCACAAACAATAATAACTAAATGACATAGGGAGCACATACAAAAGTATAAAAAAGGACTAAAAAAATACCGAGCTCCAAGGTAAATTCGAAAAGGGGAAGTCCTTAAACACTGACAAAATCAAACGTTTGAATTTATAAACCAAAGGGGAACGAATGGAAAACAACTGTCATATTCCTAACTTGGTAGAGGCAAATCACCTAGGAAATAACACTTCTCAAAAATATGCGTAATAATTCATACGGTATGAGAAATGAGTGTAAATTCATTAGAATACCTAGGTAAATATTGTTATGCTAGCCTCGTATTTAGGATACAACCTATAATCAAAGAAATTCCAATCGTCATTTATGTTACCTGTAAAAATGGTGCAAAATATTTAATTTTTTTGGCGCAAATGAAATACCGCCTTTTGCAAATACAATGCGCCTGGACAGTGTTAACCAAGAGCAAAGTTTTTTGTGGGTCCGTGTTCGATTTCTACAAAAAAACAAGGAATCCTTTTGGGAATAAAAAACTAAATGTTTAAGCGTTACGATCAAATTGCAAGATATTCTAACACAATTGATTTTGGACTCGCTAAGAAACAGGCCTCGTACAAATGAATTTCATACAGCTTATTTCTAAATGTAAAAAGTTTCGCATTTGACTACTCTCAGATCTTTAATGGCTTTAAACACACGTTCCTTACATACCTGTACTTTAGGAGAACCTAAAACAATAGGAACCGAACCGAGGTGTAAAGTTCTCCATAACTTCTCTGTAACGTAATCATCACATATAGAATTCTCCATTGAAAGGGTGAACTTGTATTTAGCCATTAACTTGTAGAACTTTGAATCAAACATTCCAGAAAGCGGATCTGTAAGACTGAAAATGTTCATGAAGAATGTTATTTTTCAAATACATTGTCAGCAGTTGTTTTCAACTAAATATAAATAAGAAGATACGGTATGAGTGCCAATGAGACAACTCTCCATCCAAGTCACAATGTATAATCAAAGTACTGAAGTACTGAACATCGGATGACCGCAGGTTCTTGTGGATGGTCAAAAGCACATGTCACAGAAATAGATCACATCTCTATACCTGAAACTGAGGTTAATTTACAGAGATATATTTTTTTCTGATACAAGTTCGTGCATGGACGATGAATAAATGACAGGAAATTCAACCGCACTGTAATACCTATTATATTGTAGTAATACAAATCAGTATACCTGGGACCATTATACTAATATAATAATAGTCCCAGAGTATACACTGGTTTGTTGTTATATATTATATTAATATTACGGTTGCATGTATATATAATTTTCATCTATTTGTATATCATTTTATTCTACTATTCTAATTATAGTGCAGTACAAGTGCATGGTGGACACTCTTCTGTAAAAAAATCGATTTTTCTAAAAGGTTGGATATTAGAAGCCATTCATATTTTCCCGCAAAACAATAACAGAGTTATCGGTCCTTGCCGGGAGTGTCGCAAAACGTTCTTGAGATATCCTTCCGTAAGCTTTAACACAATTTTTCGGTACGTGTGCATAAATATCATCAATGATTTTTTACTTTTATATATATAACTAACGACAACACATTTTCATATTATTAATTTGTGTTTTAATAAAAAATATTTATAGGAGTATCCATTGAAAAAATGAATTTGAAACAAGCGATAAGTAATGTTATTTTGCACTAGATAATGACCGCGGATCTATAATTTTTATAGATCGGTTGAAAACCCAAAACTAATTTGCATAATGGAAATTTAGGCGATAGCAATACATCGAAATGACCTCATGGTCATCGCGATGTAAAAAGTTAACAATTATAGGTCAAACAACGGCCTTCAACACGGAGCCTTGGCTCACACCGAACAGCAAGCTATAAAAGGCCCCAAAATGACTAGTGTAAAACAATTCAAACAGGAAAACCAACGGTCTAATCTATATAAAAGACGAGAAACACTTATGAACCACACCAACAAACGACAACCACTGAACAACAGGCTGCTAGTTTTATGAATCATGATTAATTTTACTTGGCAAGAAGTTATAGGTATATAATACATACGATCTTTTGCATAAATATTCATAAAGCACATTCAATACGAAAAATACACAGAGCAGCTTGGAGCCTCAAAACTTAAAACACGAACAGTTTGTAATGTGGGTAAAGATGGAAACTAACACAGGTCAGCTAGAAAGATTATTTAAGAGTCTTTAGAAAACAACCAATATGTAGAACTATGAAAAAAACAATAGTGAGATGCCAAATATACATATTCATCCGAGAATAAAGTTAATCTTGTAGTGCATTACTGAAGAATAATAGATCCAAATTATATTAAAAACTATTTGATTTGATAGCTTCAGAGATTCTTATTGTTTTACCTTTTTAGAATGGACCAGAAAACTACTTTTTCCTGCCTAGTAATGCACATTTTGTTACATTTCTTTTTATCGGTGCATTACATTTGCGCGCATTACCATATATTTGCGCGCAAAAATTATTATTGTTGGATAAGGTGCAAGATTATAGAACAATACACACGTTAACCTGTGTTAGGAAGTGTCAACTGATCTCTTTAACCACCAAAAGAAGTCATTGTTTTATCACTTTGAAAGGGGCCATTGTTGTACCGAAATATCTGTCAATACGTCATACGATTTAAAGTCATCTTCGTATAAATTTTATATATATTCAAGGAGATGTGGCATGATTGCAAATGAGACAAATATCTACCAAAAAATCAATAGACATTGGTTCAAAGACTTACAGGTAACCGTAGACTATCAACAAAGAAGGGGGAGGCGAATAGACATAATAGAAATTTAAGTTCATTTGGCAAGCAAACGTAAATAGAACATAACTAGATAGAGACATTTCTGTTTGAACTTTACCTTTTCGGTAAGTCCTTGTTGTGCAGACATTTTCCATAAGAGTCTACTTTAATATATTTCATCAACTCTTCGACAAAATCATCCCTTCCAGATGGTGGATTACAGTCACTGTGAACATAAACTACTGGTGACAGTTTTGTTAAGTATTTGTTTTTCTTGGGCGTTGATACTAAATATTTACTACTTTCTAACCATTCAATACTTTGTACATCACGAAGTAATATCGGAAAAGTTGAGTCTCTCTTAAATGTACTGGTAATGTTGAATAGTTCCATGACTTCAGAATGTGAAAGTAAGTACTTATTCTTAGGGGATTCTTCTTGAAATAGACCCCATAAATGATCTGGTTCACGCGGCAATGGAAAATCGCTCGGTTTAAGAAATGTGCCATCGAACATGAAAGCCTGAAATGAGTGGAAATAAGCAAATAATAATACTTCGCGTTGTCGTCTATCTTTATGAATCATTATTACAGCATCAAAATCAAACTCAAAAACTTTCCAAGACAATTTAGTATACACTTAAACAAAAAAAAACACGCTTTGTAATGATATGCAGTTTTTCATTAAAATTATTGGATCAAATACCAATTGGCTTCAAAAAATGTAATGGAGGTAAATATTTTTGAGCCGTGTTTTTTTTTTTTCTCAAGGTGTCGCATTCAGTAAATTGTTGTGTAAGGGAATTCAGTTGACCGATATTTTATTGAGGATGTTCTCTCCTCTTGTTTTTGAATTTTTGCCAGATATTCGGAATCCTCTGGTTTTATCCATGTAGTGCCATTAAAAATTTTGTCCACGTACCCCTACTTTTCTCTCCATAATTTGATTACATATAGTTCAAAATGTCATCTTTGAAAATCTTATAAAATCCTTGTTATTTTTTCATCGTTTTTGAAAGAAAAAAGGTGCCAATATTAAATGTATGAAATTTCTATAGAGAATTATTTCCCGCCAAATTTTCAATGGCTTATATCTCGAAAACAAGCACACTGACCCTTCATCTTTTTCTGCTTTTTTAGTTCGAATTCGAATCAGCGACGTAATTAAATCTGATTTACGCGACAGGTTTTGCCAGAAACTGTTGACATTTCCGGTTCACCGCTCGATCTTGTTGTGGCGTCTTTATAGTCTGTGTAGTGTTTTGCAAACTGTTTTTCGTCCCGGTTTACAGCTTTGTTTGTTCCCTGTTACCTTTATCTCTTTAACGATAGCATTTGGCGCAGTAGAGGTGAAAGCCATATCACAATATTTTCCTCAAACTGAAGTTTCATTATGTAGATACATGGAATACAAAATAAGGAAAAAAACGAGAACTAATAATTATGTGTGATCATTATGCCGTTGGAGATGCGTGGATTATTCATATATCCTGAAAGTATTAATATATTATAATAGTATAAATTCTATCAGTGAAGAAAATATTTCTAAAGATGTACAAAGTTTTATTTTGGAAACAGGGAGATTTGGTTCTTAAATCTTTTTATTTTTATGCCGTTTTAGATTTTGAAACATTGTAATTAAACTTTATTTTGTGAAACATATACATATCATATTCACAGCTACATGTAAGACCACAAATAGAAAAAAGTTAATCACATCTTTCGATCAAACTGACTTCTGAGCAAACCACAGAATAAACATGTAATGTAAATAGAAAATTATATTATAGTGGTCTCTTTACACTATGCTCCCAATGTTGTCATTTTGTTAAGGGAGATGGATTTATATAAGTTCGTATTGTTTCCGAAACCTGTATTTCTATTGTATAATAGTAATTTGTGCACTTTTGAAAAATAAAAAAAACATTGTTTAAACTAATTCTATTTTCTCAGGTTTTTTAAACAAAACAAAAAACCTTTTCCTACCTTAGTTCTATCATTGTTTTGGTACTCTTTTTTATTTGTTATAAAGCATTTAACATCTCCACAGCTTGCATAAAAACTTGTATTGTGTTTTGAAAAGAAACTCCACCATACAATTATTGGTTCTACAAAAGAATAATAATCATCAATGTACATGATAATGTGTTATTTTGTTATTGAGAGCACATTTTTTAAGTTAAAGTATTGGTATGTTCCCTATACAATACATACTAAGCAACAACAAAAATGGACAGTATAAGAGTCTATTTCTTTCAAAGTTGTAAAACCGATGATAAATGACCAAACGAACAAAGAAAATAAAGGTTTTCAAGTACGGTTCGGAAGTACCAAGGCCTTATCGGCCAGGTCTGACCCCAATTAATCGAGCTAATACGGATTATCACTCTGGGTGCTTTTGTACATCGGAAGTATGTAATATAAAGCTAAATATCATACTTAGTAGTAATATGTAATTCAATCAATTACAATCGTTCAGCAGTCCGTAATGATATTGATCAAACTACAAAATCTGTAAATAACGTCATGTCACACGAAAACATCGGTTTTATGTTATATTAAAGTTTGTATGATATGGTTTTTCAAAATATCAAACACCGTATCAGTCATCAACCAATATAGCCCCTAGATCAGAACTCTCTGGATTATATTGGTATCTCTGTTTGATGGATGTGGTCGACTCATTTACTATTCTCTATTAAAATATATGGCATTTTATATATTGGCACACTTGACAGATGGCAGGATAACCGGCAAATATGTAAACGGCTATGTATGAATATGTATTCACTTGACATTTTGCATAATTCAAGATAAAAAGATATGTATTAAAACACAATTTCGGTCTGATCAAACATACCTTCCCCTTCTGGATTTAACTGTTCTTCAACGTGAAAGCCAAGTCTAAGTTTCAATTCAGAAGGCTGTAAAACATTTGATTTACGTATTATTGATACATGTAGAAATACGGAGATGTGGCACACAATATTTGCATTTCATGATTTTCATAAAAAGGATCTTTTTTTTATATTTTGTATAGGACTTATATCATAAATGTTATCAAATAGAGAATAAAAGGAACAATAAAACTAAAAAAATATTCAAACAGTAAATAACAATGATCTTAAAATTGAGAAAAAATGCCTATGAATACTCACCAAGACAGAAACGTATAAATAACCCATAAACATTGAAATTAATAATAGTATAAATATGACAATATAAAATTTTCTTCCCATTTATAGTAATTTTGTAAAAGTAAACTGACGCATACGTATTGTTAATTATAAAACTTCAGAAAATCAATGATCTAAATCCAAAATAAACAAACCGCTATAATCTGATAACATGTTCAATGTTCCATGTTTAGATTTTATTCATAACCTCAGACACATTAGAGTTTAAGACAGCGCATAATATACACATTATTATGAATACTTTTGAAGTACATTTTATTTGAAATAATGTTAAAAAAGAGATGTTTAAAAAAAAAACCCAACATTTCAAATTTCAAATCGCACAAATACATGAATGTATCATACACTGTGATATTATATAACCGAGCTTTGAATTCATTAAATTTCCTATAGGTATTTGTTTCAATTGACTTGCAACCCGATCATTTGAAAATATGACAAAAAATGTATACCTCTAATTGCATACCAAAAACATTAAGTTATTTCCTATTTCTCATTCTCAAAAATGAAACCTGATAATTCCGAGTTTTTATTATACTGACTTTCTAAAGTATTTTTTTCCGAAAATAGTTAAGCAGTTTGTTTGAGTGATACTTGCTATCATAATTTCATTTTAAAATAAAAGAAGAATGTGTTCATGGGACACTGATGCCCCGCTTATAAAATATACGGCAAATTCAGCATTTTTTTTTTATTTATAGTGGGACATAACTAGAGAACGGAGAACGGCGAAAGCGACGCCACCAAAATTCAACTTTGATCTGAGTTTGATGTTAATAAGCAGTTTGTATACGTTCTAGAACATTTAGTTGAGGCATAGTAAATTTAGAGTGTTGAAACGGCAATTTCAGCATTATTTCTATTTATAAAGGGTCATAGCTCAAGAACGATGAAAGTGACGCCACCCAAATTCAAACTCGATGTGTGTTAAGTGGTAACAAGCATTGAGTATACATGTCATAACATCTTGTTGACCGCAAATTTAAGATAGAGAACGGAAACCAATTTTGGGACATACGTACGTACTTAAAGAGGAACATATCTCCCTCGTGCTAAACTCTGATTTCTTTTCCAGATTTGGCTGTACTTTAGGTCCGTTTTGGTTTGATCAGCTCTTCGTCGATTGTAATAGGTTTCTGATTTTCAATACAATATGTAGGCCTCGAGCATCACTGAAGAGACATTTATTGGCTAAATGCGCATATGGTGCAGTAAAATCGGTAACGTTAATGTTATTATCTTTAGTAATTATCCTTTGATAAATTAAGAAATTGTTTTAAACTAGGGTTCCAACTGGTTTTCAATTTGAGCGAAGTTTAATTCAAAATAGCTCTTTTGACGCAAGTAATTTATTAAGTGTTACTTTCTAGCATTTACTAGCACTAGGTCAATACGCTTAAGACGAACGGAAAGGTTGTCTACGCTCTCGTCGACTTTAACGCTTAACGATAGAGCATGAAGATATATCCAGGTTATGCTAATGGGTTGCTTTCGAGATATTCCGTTTACAAGAGCGATTTTAAAATGAAAAATAATCCTGGATAGGGTATGTATTGAAATAAGCAGAAATAAAGAAATTTACAAGAAGTATAAATTAAGCTCTGTAGGCAATTTACCAAAACGCCTTTAATTGAATGATTGTCGTGTGTATAACAGTCAGTTGGATATTGCTTGCATGTTGAGCTGTTACAAAAACAAATAAATCGTCGAGTCTTAATAATAAGTATTACAAGGTGAACAGCCCAGAATGTTTTCAAATTTTTAGGTGATACACTTTTTAGATACAGTACTTAATAAGGAAGCTATTAAACCAAGGGTTCCAAATGGTAAAATTTTACGGACGCTATAACGAGTTTTATGACTGGGTCATGGAATATTTTTTTCACCGATGACGATGGATATGTTCCATTGTCGTAACCACAATCCTGTCATCTTTTCTTCGAATGTGACATCACCGATTGGTTCTTATTATCAAATTTGTACTTAAATGATTAACACGACGGGTAACACATGTGGAGCAGGATCTCCTTTCCGGAACACACGAGAATACAGTAGGTTGTTGATGCATGGAGTTCGTGTATCTCAGTCTTTAGTTTACTTTGTTGTGTAATTTTAGACAGTTGTATGTGCTTCCTTCGTTTTTTGTTTTTTTTGCATGACGTTGTTACCAGTAGTTTGTTTTCGACTTGTGAGTAGAATATCCCTTTGGTATCTTTAGTTTTACCAAATTGATAAAAAAAAAAATCTTTTTGTCATTCTATTTTCATCTGATTTGAAAGCAACCAGTTTATTTGAATCATACTATTAGAAAATAGTTGTTAGATAATGCACGCATTCCAGGTAAGGGTTTACCTATAATTTTAAATCAAGCAAATTTGACTTTGGATGGATTTGGTTATGCCTTTAAGATGCTCCGTTTGGTCGTACAATTTTTCGCGTGTTTGGGTGGTTATACATCCTAGTCTTTAATTTCGGCAAAAATTAGCGGGGCGAAACCAAATGAAAACTCGATCTGTAACTCGTCATAGTAGACTCACATATTAAAATCAGCTCAATATGTTAAGGCATTTAGAAAAAAAAGTTGGTATAACTGTTTTTTCACGAAATTTTCAAAGTCCGTATAACATATTGTTGCGGAATGACAGAATGACGGATATGGGTAAAACTATATGGCTTCGACAACTTTGTGGCGGGGCCATTAAAATACGAAAACTGATATCTGACAAGACTAATGCCTTATGAACACACACAAGATGTTATTTGATAAGTTTAAAACTGTTTGATACTGTTTGATTTTCGAATTCAAGGGACCAAACGATCGGTCTTATTAAAGATTTCTCCTTTAAGACAAAAAAAAAAAAAAAAAAAAAAAAACAATCGTCATGCTTATTGTGTTATAACTACAATAAATAAGATAAATGATTTATTACAGAACTACCAACACAATTCTTAAACACCTCACCCGTAGACGAAAGAAAGGTTTCACAAATAGGAACCGATGTCACACTGAGCTGTAATGACAAAAAGGTTGGTATTCTACCTTTGCCCAATCTCGCAATATATGATGGATATATTTATTACGCAATTCGTGTTGTCATCGTCATTATACATCCCGGACGTTGAATTATGTTCAAAATTCCATTCAAGGACATTCAATTGGTGCAGATGTCATTGGATAATCACCAAATTCTGATCCGTTAAAGATTGTAATGCGATTAATTACTTCTTGTATCCTGTGCACTTTAGTGACAACATCTTACATCTTAAGACTAGAAATAACAAATAAAATTTCTGATTATTATCCAGTTTGTACCAATGTCAAATTTAATTTCTCGATGAAACCTATACAAGGTCTAAGAAGGAATAATGAACAAACTGTTCGCAAAGTAGACTGGAATAAAATTGACAGAGATCTATATAAACAGGCTTTATCTGTTCAACTTGATAAGTGTAACTTCACAATAAATGATCCGGTAAAAATTGATGAGGCAGTTTCCAACATCAACACTGCAGTAACTGGGGGGTATTAACAGCTATTGTACTACTTCAGAAAGGAATAAAACGTAAATCAAAACTGAAATTTATAACACACAATATTTATCAGGCAATCAAGGCAAAGAAAAACGCCTTCTGTAAATGGAAAACCTACGGCAGATCGGAAGACCCCTTAAATCCTCTACTTTAAAATTAAAAAAAAATACATCTTATGATCTTAGGACACTATGCAGAGCTGAAAATGCGAAACTTCGAATAACGGATACACAAAAACTCATCGATACAAGAGCAATGGATAGAAAACTTTTCTAAGACCCGTTTTGCTAACTTATCAAAATAATCTGATCCTTCAAACTTTGATCAAGACTATTGTGATTTGGTTGACTCCGAATATATTCAAATTGTTCAAACATGAAGAAGTAACCACTGATGAATTTGAAAAAGCCTTACATGAATTTAATAGAAATAAATCAGCTGACAATTTTGATATTACTGCAGAATGCCTTCTATTCAGAGGGGAACAACTTGATAGCATATTGCTTGAAGTCATCAATGCATCATTCCAGCACTGTTATATATCCAACAACTTGAAAACTGGTACTCTTACACCAATCTTTAAAAATAAAGGAGACATTTTAAATTAAAAAAAAATACAGATGCACTACCATTACTCCTTCGTTATTAAAAATAATAGAAACCATACTTAAATCCTAGCATATTGAAAGATAAAAGAAAACCTTCAGCGTGGATTTACTGAAAACACTGCTCCACTGATAGCATCCCTAATCATGGAGGAATTCAAAAGAGAAAGTAAGTATTAAAAAAAAAACAACAACAATATACGGAATGCTAGACGCAAAATCTACTTTTGATTTAGTTCGACATAAATATCTAATAAAAAAAAAACTCTACCATCTTGGTATTTCAGAACAATGCATTTTAATGATTGATAACCCGTAGAGATATGCTACTTCTAATGTTAAATGGAAAGGATGTATATCTGACGCATTCAATATTTAGCAAGATGTAAGACAAGGAGACACGTTAAGTGCTGATTTGTTCAAAATTTATGTAAACCAACTGTTAAACAACTTTGTAGACTCAAATCTTGGTGGAAATATCGGTTCGATAAGTTTCTGTGAACCCACCTTTGCAGACAACATAGCAATAGTAGGAAATAACCCATTTGACGTTCAAATAAATATGGCAAATGACTACAGCCAACGTGAAGGATATATGCTCCAACCAGAAAAAAAGTGTTATTTTACAAATCAAAACCAACAACAAAATAACATTTGCAGAAGAAAATTGGTCAATGAACAACGAACCAATACCGATTGTTACCAAAACATATCACATCGGTATACAAAGAGATTCTTATGATACAGCAGGAAGTACTATAGTTGTCTCATTGGCAATCAACATATCACATCGATATACAAAGAGATTCTTATAATACAGCAGGAAGTACTACAGTTGTCTCATTGGCAATCAAACCACATCTCCCTATTTTTATATAATTAAAAAAGCAAGAAGATCATTATATAGTCTTGTGCATACAGGATCATTGTGTTGTATCACCACCGACTATAGA